ATCTGTGAGTTAGCCATGCCCTGACGTAGATCAGCCTAGGGGTTGTTTCAGGGTTCTATCTGTGAGTTAGCCGTGCCCTGACTCAGATCAGCCCAGAGGTTGTTTCAGGGTTCATTCTGTGAGTAAGCCATGCCCTGACTTAAATCAGCCCAGAGGTTGTTTCAGGGTTGGATCTGTGAGTTAGCCAAGCCCTGACCTAGATCAGCCAAGAGGTTGTTTCAGAATTCCATCTGTAAGTTAACTATTACATACCCCGTGGACTTTGATCAGCCAAAAGGGTGTTTCACGTTTTCAATTAAATTTGCAGACAATCAAAGCCATAAAACTGCAGTGTTTCTATACATGAACACAATCGTACCCAATCTATCAGACGCCTGCTGCAGCCCTTTCAAGTACATTGTACGGTGGTCCACTCTTCCCCAAGTTCCTGATTTTTAGTCAGTCTGAAAATTTTCCACACTTTTTCCAAAATTCTCTGACCTTTACACGGCCCCGTAACAAATATATAGGCCTTTGATCATTGCTGTCACCTGGCAACCCTGAATGATAAGGAAACTATTGAAGGCATGCAGATACATTGTATAAGGCCCCGTCCACACTATGCAAGATAAATTTGAATCCTCAACTTTCACACCGAAACCGAAAAAAAAGTTTTTCGTCTACACATGAAAACGGATAAAATGTTTCGCGTCCACACTAGTCCGATCAGAGGCGGCAAAAACGCTTCATTGCACATCTGATGAGCATGTGCATCGAAGCTGAAATTGAGCCCGCTGTGAATTTTTAGCCTTCCCGCCATGTTCCCATGACAATCATGACGTCATCGTATTCGAAAAAGTTCTGATACGAAATGTTCTCCGTCCACACTAATACGGCTAGCCGACGTTTTCAAATTGTTCCACTCTGGAGACCGTATTCGAAAAAAATCGTTTTCGGTGAAAAAATTGTTCTGGATTCGCCCGAACTAGTGTGGACGGTTGACCTAACCGAATGAATAAAAATTCGGATTCAAATTTATCCGGCATAGTGTCACAACTAGCCGATATGATGTTGAAATGATGTCACTGCAAAAATGAGGTGTCGTAAAGATTTTTTTTAACATCTATCCACATTTAGGGTCGATATCAGTGTGTTAAAGCTGGGAATAGGTAAAACCATATCAGTGAAGTGATACGATATCACTACACGGTAAACTGGAAATTATAAATTTTGTCATTTTATCGACCCTAAATGTGTAATAAACAAATTATTACTTGTTAAAAGCTTGATATCTTTTTTATTTACTCGTTTTTCAAATCATATCACTCACTTGCTCTCAGATTTGCTCGTTCGCGATATGATATGGAAACTCGTGAATAAAAACGATATCAAGCTCTTAACATGTCATAATCGGCATAATCTCTATTAGTAAGAGAGTACTGGCAAGAGAGTACTAGTCAGAGAGTACTGGCAGGGTTTTCATTAAGTTTTGGACTAATAGGAGAAGATCGTGAACTAGTCAGAGAGTACTGGCAGGGTTTTCATAAAGTTTTGAAATAACAGAAGATTGTGAACTAGTCAGAGAGTACTGGCAGGGTTTTCATAAAGTTTTAAAATAATAGAAGATCGTGAACTAGCTGGAGAGTTCTAGTAGAGTTTTCATTTAGTTTTTAAATAATGGGAGAATCTTTCTCAGTTAGAGGAGCATTGTCGGAAATGAAAAAAATTCTATATTAAATAATTAATAAATGAATGATTAATATAATAAATAAACAAACGAATGAAAGGGATTTAATGAATCCCATCGGGAACCAAAATTAACTATATTAGAAAATTACTAGTAAGGTAAAAAACAATTCAAAATTAAGTATAATAGGACGTTTGCATGATGACTCGAGTCATTCTTGTCGAGGCAAGATTTTTTTTACGGTCAAATTGAACCAGTATGATCGAGTCTTAGTCGCAAAACTCAAAGCCTCCGTCTCTCTATGAACCAGTGTTATGCTGGCTCCATCGGCTCAAAAACAGCACACAAAATATTGCACAGAGGATTCTCCTTCTACAGAAAAAGTTTGGTCTCGAAAATTTACCTCAGAAAGGAAATATAACGAAAAACGTATCGCTTTCCCCTACGCTCCTTAGTAATTTTGCCCCCCAAGCAATATGGCGTCGGAAACTGTGAAAGGGTCTATTATTCGCGAATTTTGTTTCTCATCCAAATTTCTATTCCCTATTAGACAATTGGTGCTAATTAATTGAACAAAAGAAAGTTTGCAAGGAAGTCTGGTAGTAGAGGTCAATGACGCCATCATGCAAACGTCCTATTAATAATAATAAATAGGATAATACTCACAAAATAATATACAAACAGGCAAGAAAATAAAATCACACACAAAAGCGGTCACCCAATACATGGTCAATCATTCAATCAAATTAAATATCTCTTTGTCATAACGTTTTTCAACAGCGTTCCATAAACAGGATGCATTGTGGTCTTGTTTGGGTACAAACAACACCAAATAAGGCATGGTGAACAAAAGATGTTTGTACCCAAGCTAGACCACAATGCATCATGTTCGCTTATCTCAGAAAAGGTCTATTTCAGAGCAAGTTTAGCGTTCCTTTGTGAACAATTCAACTTCATTTTTCGGATACTTGAGAAAATATAGAGGGCTTTCACGTGACGTCGCATCAGCCATGTTAGTGTACCAAACCAATACATTTTCCATCCTCGGGGAATTGAACTCTATTGTTTGCTACACCAATATGGCTGCCTTCTCACGTCAGTGAAAACACTGTATTAGATAGATATTTTAATATTTATCTTAAACGTTTTATTATTTACTTCCATTATTTTCAAAGAGTGTGATATCATAGGAGGCATTAATAAATAAATAACAAAATTCTGGGGCAGTAATAAACTTCTTGTATAAAACATCATTGTCTTGCTCAGGGTTGTAGAAATCGTATTGCAAATTTTGTTATAGTAATCAGTATTTCAATTTACAAATGATGACAAATAAACTCAAATGACATCACACTCATCAACATATGGAAGTATAAACCTTGATATATCTAAGATGCATCACTCAAATAATATGAAAATGTTTTGCCACCTAACTATTAACTTTAAGTAAAATCAAAACTGAAAATGTGTATGAATCCAGAAATTATCCATACTCCCCCCCCCCCCCCCCCCCCCCCCCCCCCCCCCCCCCCCCCCCCTCTCTCTCTCTCTCTACCCCCGGAAATTCCAATATTCTTCCATACAAACTGTAATTTTGTTCTTTCTTTGCCCCCCACCCCACCCCTCAGAAATGCAATCCTCTGTGGGGGGGAGTGAAGTGGGGGGAGGGAGGCAGAGAGGTAGGGGGAGGGAGGAAGGGGGGAGGGAGAGGGGGAGGGAGAGAGGGGTATGGATAATTTCTGGAACTAAACAATGAGTTAGGGTGACGATACTAAGTGAGCCGGAACAAAGTGCATAGTGTAGATCATAAGGAAGAAAATAAAAGGAAAAAAGAAAGAATGAATGAAAGGGAAAAAACTCACCAGCCATAAGGAGGATCAAACCAACTCCCATCAACACAACAGCCCACCAATATTTCTTGATCCAAGCTAAATAACCCAAGAAGGCTTCTTTGCTGAGGAATTTCTTTCGCAATCTGTTCAAAGGGCCATCTGCATCAACCTTACGGCACTTGAGAAACACATCACAGTAACCATTGAAGTTGTCGCAAGCTGCCGAGGGAAGTTGCTTCATTGCCTATAGTGAGAGAGCAAAAGCAAATATACGTTATTTACCGGCCAGGAGGTCTGGATAGGCAAAAACTGTGCCCGAGGTCTTGAATATACGGACCGAGCCCGTTAGGCCGAGTTCCGTTTTCAAGACCGAGGGCACAGTTTTTTCCTATCCGGAACGACTATAGGAAGGTAAATAACTAACTTATTTACTTACCATATTTTTTTACTTGTTTTTGCAATCGTTTTGTTTTGTTGTTAAGCGGCAAACGATACCAGACCGCGAGCGCGGGCAGATACTGACAAAATACCGCCCACTCAAACAGCCAATCAGAACGCACGATTTCTTAGGATACCGGACCGGAAAAAATTAATGTCTATATTTTATGTTGGTAGTTCCTTCAGTTGAAATTCAAGTGCTCTCAATGGAAGCCGATGATGCGCACTTAACCCCCTCTCTCTCTATCAGCGCTCTGTTTTAAGGGTATTCAAAGCTGAAGCTACAAAGATTAGGGAGAATCATAAAACAGACTTGAAGATCCTGAGGATTGGACGTTGGACCTCTATCTGCTCTGAATACCGCACACTAACCAACTGAGCTATGCCTTCTCTTAGGGATTTCATATTTAGGGATTCTGCCATAGTTAATAGAGGGGAATGGTTAGGAAACCTATTGTTATCAGGTCTTTGTTCGCTTTTGATGTTGAACCGGTCATGCTCATCCGAAATTGCAAAATAAGTAAACATAAAATTTGTCTATGGGATTGTCGTAAGGAAGATTCAAATATCTCTTATAAATCTTTAAGTAATTTGAACTAGCAGCCAAAAGAAAGATTTTGGTCTGTTCACTAAGCCATTGCCAACAATGGTAAAACAAAGGACTGTACACGGTCACGCTTGAAAAAAGTGAACAAAGACTCATAACAAAAGGGTTTCCTAACCATTCCCTATATTCCCTAACATTAACTATGGTTCTACCTGGAACAGACTTATCAAGAACACTAGTGACTCTGACCCCCGGGGGGGGGGACTCCCTTATAAAAGGGGGCGGGGGTCCTCGTCGGAAATTCCGAAAATGACCCCTAAAAGGGACCTGTATTTTGGGATGATGGGCGTGGCAGTGATGAAATTTCACCCCTAAGAGGGACCAATCAATAACGCATTTTTTTTGACTGGTTTCTCGATTTTATTTGCATCAAACGCCGTCTGCCCTAACTAATTTATGACGACGTCGTCATATACAATTCGCTTGCCTTTTTGTAGATCTTATACCCTGAAAGGGACCACAAAATTCAGTTGATGCGCATTCCCGTCGTTATCACCCTAAGCGGGACCAAAACCCTGATTTCAAACCCTAAAAAGGACGACGAGGACCCCCGCCCCCTTTCATAAGGGAGTCCCCCCCGGGCTCTGACCACCTTTGCCATTACAACCCCAAAAGAGAAAAATAGACATGTCACTCATTATTGTCATTATTATATTGATAAAGATTTCATGAGATGGGCTGGAATAAAGCAAGCAATCCCGGCATTATGGAAAAAACAAATAAAAGGAAAAAAGAATGTTTTCAAACAGAATCCTGATAGCTTAAAATTAGGGAATCAAAATAGGGAATTGAGTAAAATAAATACAAAGCAGCTGTACCAGTGGTTCATAGAGAAAAAATTCAAACATC